CTTTTCTTCCACGAGGTAGTTATTCCCACTCACTATTTTATAGATAAAACATACAAGGCTTCACGTGGTTAACTGAAACACAGAGCACCGGGATTTTGACTCTTCAAAATACATCTTGCACTATTAGAGCTTAGCAAATTGTGAGCTGTCTCAATAAATTAAATCATTTCAAATATTGATGTTAGTACCAATCTTGACTTTTTTTAATTTACCGTTGTATAAAACGAACAATTTTAACTTTTTTTTTATGTTTTGGTGGATTCCGATTCAACTTAGACACTGAGTTCGAAGTGGGGTCAGATTTCTGTTCTACGGAGTATTTAGATTACAAACAATAGGGTCGAAAGCCCCAGTATTCTATCCCTGTGTCAGGCTAAATATTCGACCTGGTATTGGGTTGCACTGACTTTGCAAACCATGAAAACATTGTTGTTTTTTGCTTTCCAGCAGATAGAATCGCGCTCTTGACCTCATGAGTGGTATCAATTAATTATCTCTGTGCTTTATCGCTACCCTGCCAATTTATTTACGTCACATGTGACAAAAATTTTCGAAGAAACATGTCAAGTACAGGAGTTTTGAGCATTGTAAGCGCAGTAAAACTTAAATTTAATGAAATAAATTGTTCGACTGAAACAATGATCGACTTTTGAGCTAGACTATGACTACTACTAAGCTACCGGCACTTTGTGCAAATTCACCCAATCATGACAGTCAATACCTTTTGACACAAATTATAAATGGTAAGTTCTTTCCGCACTTTTTACTTCGACATTTAATCTTCTTGCTTAACTTGCTATATTATTTGACATCCACTGACAGCACCTATGTTTGTACAACACAAAATGACAGTTGATGACCACCCACCCACCCATTCACTGATAACCATCTTTCATCTTTTTGACAGAATGCCTTACTTTTAAGTATTTCCCATACTATTCAGCAGTTTACATTTCCTACTAAGTATACATCAGTGATTACCATTATTTCCCCGCTTTCTGCCGAAGGGAATTTAGAAGCACAACCAGCGGCTGGGTCATAGAGTTATGCACAAAAACAGTCCCGTCATCATGATCCTGATTACTTTGAGTTGTCCGTATTCCTCAAAAAAAAGATCACGTGAGAAGTGATTGTTTCCCCTCCTTCAATCGCAGCGAGATTCATGTAACTCCCGGTCGGTTGAACCTTCATCCAAACGACGTTCATTCATTAGAACCGTTACATAGCTAGCTATTCTTATATCAGATCTTGGTGAGACCAGGCGAAGAGACATCGGTCATCATACATTAAGATGTTCCTTTGAATACCATTATGTTTTCTGAGTAAATCGAATTTATAAATTTAATATAATTTCAAACTGATGATCTCAACAAACATAACAATAGCTAAAATAAAAACCAGTTTTCCAGTAAACATATACATATATATTCTCTGAAATTTAACTATTGCATATTAAGCTAGTTTACCAAGTTAGATTAGCCGCATTAAATATAATTGGTCTATTGATGGTGCATTGCTTTGCTGTGTACATAAATCTACGAAAATGTCATTGTATATCCGTAAATTAATATCTTAGCAACCAGGTGAGTTTAAAACACCGTTGAATTCAATATTTCTTTAACAGTGTTTCGTCAAATTTCTACTTGACAGAACAAGTTTGTTGTTATTTGTGTATCAAATTGCATAACTTCGATTTTATTTTCCCGAAAAGTGATTTTGTTTTCATTTTTGTGGTCTATAATGCTAAACATATATCACCAAATTTGTGGTTAGAACCCAGTTTTTGGGATTTATATTTTTAAACATAATAAAATAAAGCATAAAACTAAAACTTGCTTCGTTATATTGCTCATGTATGCTCAGTGGAACGAATAACAGACAAAACTGAACATTTAAAATAGTTCAGTTCTAGACATGCCTATTTTGTCTTCACAAATTATTGACGGTATGCTGAATTTTTTCTGCCATAAATCACTATTGGCCTTGAATCCGACTTTGCCACAAGACCGAAACCGCATAGCTTACTTGGTGTAAATGATCCTTGATGTTTTCAGCTTTTCAGGGGAGAATTTTGACAATTTGTTTGTGTAGTGTTTTCTAAATTTGCAAATGCTTTTAAGGTTTATTGTTCTAAAAATAACTCAAGGAAAATTAGCCGTAGAAAGTGATTTGTATTTGTACTATTAAAAAAGATGTATAATTTACCCAAAGAGATATGAATATACAGAAATAGTAAAATTTGGCAGATTAACACATCAATCTTAGACATTCGCATATATATATATGAGTTAATGTTTCTGTTTGGATTTCTAGAGAATTGATTCTCAAAATTCAAACTACTATTTTTATATTCCAATTTGTTTGATTTACCTTAAACTCATGTTAATTTTATTATATTTTCTTCTCATGCATCACTTAGCAGACATGGCTCATAACAATATGCACCCCAGTTTGAAAACTATTTACAGGCAAGTATGGGTCATAATTGATCAAAGAATTTTTCTGTGTCTAGTCTGGTGTAAGACAGACCGTCAATTATAAAGTTAAAAATTTGCCATTTTATCGATTTTGTCCATACGCTAATTCTGTTTATGTAATGCTGTTGGAAGACTCTCTAAATCCTCAAATTAGATTCAGGGACTTAGTTTTTTCCAAGTCACCATTATTTGGTCATAATTATATTTATAGGTAAATGTGGTTGTTTTCTTTTCCGTGGGATAAAGTTTATTTTTGCTATTTAGCCTAGATATGAATGACGTCAGTATATTAGCCAAGTAAGATGATGTTTACCTGTGCCATGTGGTCTAATTATTCTATTTCTGATTTAATTATATTTTGTTTGATTGTATTTATTTCAACAAAGCAAAAATTTAGATTTTTAAGTTTTAATGCTGGGTTTTTGCGGTATCTTTTGGTCCGTTAAAATAAATTTTTGGCTAATTTTTTTTTATCATATATAAAATGGTGTTTGTCAAATCGATACAAAATTATGCCTGTAATTCGCGTTTGCGCTAATTACTTTGTCATCCATACCAAAAGTAACGACAATTGTGATTATCAACGACTCGAAACAATGTCTGGTACAAAAAAGCAACCGCAAGTATTTTGAATCGATCATAAACGGCCGAATATAAAGACAGAAAATATTTCAACGACCCATAACATTTTTCAAATGTCGTAGTATCGAGTTAGATATTCCCATGATATTCATTGACAATTTCCCACAAGTTTAACCCAAAACGGAAGTAAGCATTATTTTAACAAAGAATATTTGAGCAGAATACGGAATTCAGTTATCGTTTTACCGTAAATGTTATTATTTTAATTGATAAGCCGTTAATAAAACCGAAATAACGAAAGCTCAGAACAGATATGTGCAGCGTGTTATTCATTAGAACAACGTCTTTTAGTAACTAGGAATTTACTTTACCGGATCCGGTATGAATGACTTTAATTATGACACCACGCGTCCATATAGATCAAAGGCCCCGTCACGCGCCCATTAAAGTTGAATATAGTTGAAGCCTCTCGGCTAAACCGTATTTAGAAACCCTTTGAAGGTACCATAGCAAATTCTAAAGACATCAATGCAATTAACTAATAGATGGCCATCATCCATAAACACCCAGGGGGAGAGGCTTTGTTCCATCATTAGAATGTTTCGAAAATAAGTCTAATCCACGCGGCGTCATAACTCCTCTACGGATTGCTTGGCTTTCTGCCTGATTTTTTCGTATTTTTTTTGCTTTTCCTATGCATGGGTGAAGTTTACCTCAACCTCAAGTTATGAATTCACACTTGCGCTTATAGCAAACAGGAACTCAATGCTGTAATGACAATTTGATATTGATTGGTATTTTGCTTAGGGAGTAAATCGATTATTTTTACACCACAACAACTCATACCAGAACAGCAACAACGTTTTAGAAACATGATCTGTGGGTCCACTTTGTGTTCAATGAACTGTCGAATTCAACACTTAACGATTTCAAATATATGTTAAAATTCATTTTATTGATAAAAATACTTACCGCTAACCATTTTCATAGTGTATTATGGTCTTAGTTATAACGTCTTTATTCGTCATGTTGGTTACGTAAAATTACTAGTACAGTCATAAGCTCAAAATCTTTTATTATTTCATGGTGGTTGTCTTGGCTTAATCGAGCTTACATAAGACGCTGTTGGGCACACAAATCTGGATTATTTATAATCTCGACAAATCGCCTTCGAGTAGTTGTCACAAAAACAGGATTCATTTGTCACTGTACGACTGGCGTCTCGCGTACATTGAAGATTAGCTTTTCAAACAATTATAAAATCTTGCCGTTATGTTGCTTCCAAGAAGCAATTAATTGGTTGTATTTTTGAGCGGAATAAACTGGATTTTCTATGCTAATTGGAAAATTCTGAGCCCACACAAGTGGTGTTCAATATTATAAATCATCTGCAAATAAAAAGTGAACATACAAGGTAAAAAATATTTTCGTTTGTTTCAAATTTTAAGCGCAAAGTTGAATATATATGATGTGTACCTGTTGATAGTTTCAAGTCAAGACTGGTTTTGTACTTACTAGTGAAAACTCCGTTTCACTATGCTTCTGAATGTGCAATACCGAATAAACACATTGAGTTAGCTCCACTAATATATACATTTTGGCTACTAATTTGTAGAAATTCATCCTATCCTGGTAACTTTCGTAGAATTATCATATCTGCTACTTTTTACATTTAACACATATTGTAGAAGTTATTTGTTATGATTTATTCAATTTTTTTCTTCGCTTTGATGCATTCGCGTCCTTGCAGCTGCTGGTTATCAACCAATCCACTTGGCTTCCGCTTACGAGTGTCGATGTCATTAATTAAGCTGGACAAAAGCCATGTGTTCAATTATCCCTTACTCTATTTTTACATTGGAATAGGGCCAGTAGTACTTCATTGCATTATACAAAGCTTCTGCTTTATCTCTTATTGAAACATGTGATTTTTAATTGCAGAGCAAAACAAAAGAAAACTTGAATTTGAACTGCAGACAAGACGTCGAAACTGAGTTGTATGGATGCATATTTCGCCATCAAAGAAAGAAAAAGTAATTATCGGATTATAAAATTATACCTCTAACATTTAAAGGCGTATTTGTACTTCTAATTTAAAGTGATTAATCACATCGAATATTACGAATTTAAGTTTCACTCAAGCCTAACCGTCAGGGTTTTGCAAATTCGGTAGGCTATACTAACCCGAATAGATTCCCGTTCCTTCAATTATAGTATCACCCTCCGACTGAGTTGCTATACTTAGAACATTGGATGTTAAACTTCATAAAAATACATTCGCCACGAGTTTCGTTTTTCGCAGTTGGACTATACTGAAAACAAATATTTAGCTTTAAGCGGTATAGGAAAATGAAAATATGAAATAAAAATATGAAATTAAGATTGCATTTTTGCTATCTGAAAACTCATGCATTGAGGTATACTCTCACAGCACATCCAAATATTTTCCAATTAAGTTTTGCTTATTTGTAATACATATCCAAATTTTATCATCCACCTACTTGGAACCACGGCTCGTTGAGTACGGTTTAAAATGTTTTTTTTTTATTCAAAACTTTATTTCACCAAAACGTTTTTGGTTTCCTTGCATTATGTGGTAAAATATGACCCACAAAAAGGTCATATTTAACTTTTATAATAAATTAGCACCTCATCACCCTTCTCTAGAAACGCCCTACGTGAGTCATGTGACATATACGGATTAATGATGTCATTTACTTGACAGTTTGAGTTCGAAAAAATCCGATTAGTAAATTTTAACAATACATTCCAAGTATCTAGCAGGTCACTCAAAGAACAAATTTAAAAATATTATTGTGAAATATAAAAGATACCCCGACATTTATAGTAACACAATCGATAAAGTTGCTGAAATTTATCAAAAAGCCTTTTCGAGACTATTTTTCAAAGAAAAACGTGTAAGATGATTTTGTGTAGAAACGTGCGGGTCCAAATTGTAGTCGTTCTTGTCAGCATAATCCCGACTCATATTTTCTGTGTGACAGAACTTTTGTCAACAATTCAACAATGAACTTCATGAAAATTTTAGTCGGTTTCAACACCTTTGAAAGTAGTGCTATGTTACACATGAAAATATTTCTGAATATCATAGTTTTTTAATTATTAGGTGTGATCAAGTTAGCAATGTAAATCAGGGTCGCTTCAGCTAATTCTCTGCATGCAGAGTCCAAAACAAATTCATAAATTTACGAAATTCATATTGACATTACGAATGATACAATTGTACACTGAAAAAATCTTCAAAAAATTTTCCCCAAACTTTCAATGCTATATTTGATTCAGTTGTCTGTTGTAATGGTATCGTACGTCCTGTTCTCATATTTGTAACATTATATCTCCCAAAACAAGTACAATATACCTTGACGAATCATGCGATAAAGCGAAAAACAGGCCTAGTAAACATAATGTATCATTCAGCAAATATTTTGCCATCAACCCTTGCACAAAGCACTTAGGATTAGATGGATTAGATTTCTATTGGCAATTTAAATAATTATTGTTTGAACTACTGGTTTCAACCGTGATTGATTTTTTGTAAATTATGTAATTGCTGTTCGTTATAGGTCACAGAATCCTAGCCCGGGTAATTATGGTTGTATGAAAGCGTATTTCAAGTTTTTGAAATTTTTACTTATTATTTGGAATATAGCAAATATATACCATAAATGTGATCTTTTTGGACCCATTTGAATGTCAGAAATTTATATCCATCTCAAGGAAAATCTAGACCAGACCCCAAAATAAACCTCATAATTCAAGTTACAACCTATAAATTATTTTTGAAGCTATGCGATAGGTGATAATCAAGAAAAAATTTATAAATCAAATTGCGTGTGTAATCTTCTATACAAATTTCAATCAAAATGATTTCTGAACAATTTATAATCGTTCATATCTCTCCCGCGATGTTATAGGTAGATCTTCAAAATAATTTTGTCCAACATACCAAGTTTTTACACAACTTATGTTTTTCAAAGTAGCAATTCACGTTTGGTTAATATGATCTATACAAAAAAAAACGGAAAGTTGCTGGTAGCGTTAGAGAAAAGCTTAGTCCGATAGGCGCCAAACGTAATAACTATTGCGTTCCAATCTTCACATTGATAACAAAATATGGCAAGGAAGAATGAATCAGAGTATAGTATGTGGGGATTTTGTCATAAACAAAACACAAAATATCTTATCGCAATACAAAACAACAAAATATCCCAAACTGTGCAAATAGAAAGATGGGTGATTCATATTTACGGATGTCAAAATTTTGAGATTGTCTGAAATGAATAAACCGGTTACTTGCGATAACTGGTATAATATAATGCGATAAGTATATCCAAGTTGTGTTTTTTGTAATTGTGAAAACGATCACAAATCTAATGTCAACGTTATTTATACAATTTGTTATACAAATTGTCGTATATTTTGTTAGACATGCATTTCGAACACAAACTTGAAATACTGCAGTAAACATTTTTATCTGAAACTTTTCAATTAAAGGCAAATGACGTCATAAGGCGCATGTCATCAGTTAAAACCATTGTTACGTCATAAATGTAGGTCAGTTATGAATGGTTACACAAACAGGGCTTAGATTTCTATAACACATTTCCTCACCCGAAACTTATTCTTTGAACTTCTGAACATGCGACGAATGTTATGCTATCTAACAGACTGATGTTATAAATAGTGTCAAATAATTATATACTAATTTTTGTATTGTTCATATTGTGCCCAAGATAATACCAGATATGGCTAATCTATGTCCACTTGAATTTCTGTATCTTAGTTTGAAAGAAGAATGAATATACGATCACATTCTCCACTTGAATGGCCTCCTCCGTTAGGGGAGAGAAGGTTGGACTGCGAATAACAGTGGTGATGAATTTTGGGCAGCTGAACTTCATTCAAAAATCGCCTTTTAATTTTGAATAACTGACTATTTGGTGACTTAGTAAGAAATGTCATCGTAATAATATCCAAATATGATTTACCGCATTCAGATGTTGTGGAAAATCTTCCAATATGACGACTTCTTGTCAGCATGTTTGCGTTATGTCATTTCGATCAGAATTTGGTCCATCTGCAGAAAATATGAGAGATATGGAAAATCATTGTCCTGCCGATGTATTACAATGCACAAAGAATTTCTCCATTGCAATCAGGAAGTCAACAGCAAGCGGTAATAATCTATTGCTGTAATATAAAGTTATATTTACGAATGGGCTGGAATTAAGTAGAAATACTATAGTTGAGTGTGTGAGTGTCCGAATTACAATGAATAGGGTAGATATATGGTAGATATATTTGCAATTGGGTACTCTCGTAATGTGTGTACCAGGTTATGGTTGGGCCATAATTTTATTTCGATTTTCCTTATTTTAGTTCTATTACGAGTTCGGGGATTATCTGTGTTAGCCAAGTGAATATCCCCCCTTGCCCATAGGTTTCAGTCTATACAACTTGATGCAAGATAGGCGAACAAAATTAGTTACCTCTATGTTGGTACATACACTTCTGGAGCGCCAAAAATGTTGCTAGTGTGTTTTAGCCTCTATTTTCTTATCATTTCCCAACCTTTGTCAAAATGGACATGGCCTTGCCAAACTCTAAACTTTATGTTTCTTCCAAATCCAGAAATTGTTTAGTTAGAGTAGTAATTTCTAGTCAGTCTTGTTCAAGAAAAATATACAAAATACAAAGTATACGCACGTGAGTAATTCGAATACTTTTTAAAACTTTTTCCTAATTTTTTTCCAGGAGTGGTCTGCTGCGATAAATCAAATTCAGAGAAATGTCGAAGCGATTGTCGTCGTATCATGCGTTCATACATGACGGAACAAGAAAAAGTAGATGAACTCGTAGAATCATGTGGCAGTTTAATACCACGAGAACCTATGTGGAAATGCTTTATATCTAATAACGGTAGGTCTGCAGATTATTTATTTATTCAGGTTATGATCTACTGAGTTGTGTTGCGAAATTTGTGTAAATCTGGGAAGAATATATAAATTTTCAAACTGTGGCATGTATGACTTTACAAATTAATTAGGTTATCTTTTGTGATTGCGCAAAATACGACCTGAAATATTGATTGAATATTTATTGTAATTGTAGGTGAAACGGCAAGACCAGCACCACCTCGAGTAGGACCGGATCTACAATGCTGTTCAAAAGCAATTTCTTCAAACTGTCGGCAACTCTGTAAAAAGGTCAGTATTCTAAAACATTGTCATATAAATTTGAAAGCGTCCGACAACTTAGTGTTTGGTGAAGCTTGCTAAGCTAATTTTAACCCGAGTCTGAAGTTTGAAGAGCCAAGTTGCATACCCATCACGCCACCTGCGTATGTACATATAGATAGGCCTTATATGCTGGAACGATAAATGAGTTCTAGTTGGATCATCGTGCCGAGAAAGGATGTAAGGCGCCGGAGGAGTTCAGAGCATTTGTGAATAGGCAACTTTCGATTACAGAAATATTTTGACTCGTGCATTCACACCTAAACGATAGAAATTGGAAAATTTTCACCCACAGAAAAATATCCCTGAATAAATATATTAATAATATATTTTTGTATGGACAATAAGTTAAGGTGAGATATTGTGCAAGTGCACGTGTAAGCCTGTGATAATGAGCGGATGTGTGCGCTGTTTGAATTCAAAGGGCGCATTAGCAGTATATAGAAATTACTAGCAGCGCTACTTATATCTTTTAGTTGTATCATTTATTATTTCAAATAATCTACCTATATTGTACAAAATATGTCGTCGAAACGGAAGCATTTTATCCAACGTCTTTACTTATTCATATATAGTTAATCAGATTAGTAAGTGTTATCGAACGCATCATTGACAGTTAATATTAATTAAACTCCGTGGAAATCTCCTGGTACTCTATATCTTTAATTACAAGTCCTTTTATACACCTATATGTTACGACCTAGTTAACATCAAAGTGGATTACGACTTCATTTACCATTTTACTAGTAAGAGTAAAATTATCCATAGACTGAAACTGGGCCAATCTAAAAGAATATGCCGTCAATTTCTCTTGGGAGTTATCATTCGTCGCTCGAATAAGTGTCCCTGAGGAAGTTGCTGAGATTTGGCACATCTATAGGTCAAAATATCTCGGTGTCCTTAGTGGGTTATTCTATGTGATATTTCTCCGTTGATGAAAGGTGTAATAATAGAGTGGTATGCTTCCAAAAAAATAGTTGAAAGCACAGTAATTGTGCTTGAAAAATATCGTTCTCCGTGAGATAATCACCGATGACCGGATTGTGATGAAGTGTAGGTTACAATATTTAGGGCAAAAATGTCGTATACCCCCAACAAATATACGTTGTCAAAACTATATTTCTATTTCCCTACCCCTACTCTGTGAGGATTTCACACACACTGTATCGCGATGGGAAAAATTTAAAGCATTTTATCCGAGCTATAGTTGTAAATAGACTTACGTTTTGTACGCTGAACTCGACACCAAAATCCGAAATTGTAAGGCCAACTAAATAAATTACTTTAAACTTCAAATTATCCCCAGATGCTCTTAGCGTTATGTGTAGGCTTTTTTCCAAAATTGTCTTTTTGGATTATTTTTTTGCTCATTTTCAAGGTAGACCTGTGCCCGACCAGAATCCCATTCGAAACCAATATCCTGCTCACCTATACAGACAACCTAGTTATCAAATCAGGCAAACAGAATAACGACTAGTACATTTAGTCAATACTACATGATACACAAAAACTATCAAGTTATTTCCTTTGAGACTCAATGTAATAAACAATTAGTAAACACCGACCACATCCATGTATCATATTTTCCCGTAACGGTTAAGGTCAAATGTAGATCTTCTTTTCTCTTGGGCCTTTATGAAAATCACATTCTTGCATTTATTTTTTCTGATTATGTATGGACGGTTGATTAACGTATGCGTTTCCATATACGATCGTGCGAAAATTAACACAATAAAATTTCTTTCGATGTTTTTTTTAATTGTGTCATTCTCTCAAAACAGCTCTACAGCAAACCATGGGAAAGTTCTCACAATTGGCAATACTTTCAGAAATGGTGTGAATATAATTCGGAAGAGTCGGATCTAAACAGTTGTTTACAAGAAGGTCTGTCTTCTACTTTTACGTTAATTAATTTGAGAATATCTCCTATTCTGAAAGTTGTTTTCGTTTGTGTACATATCTTTCAATATTATTAGATATTTAGTTGTTTACCAATTCACTGCACTATTTTTTTTTTGGTGAGTCGTTTTTCGAAGCGTGAAAAATGGCAGATTAGTCCAACTCGCATAAATGTATGTTTATGGCTTAAAGTCACTTTATTTCCTGCTTTTTGTACAGACAGATTACTACAAATATTATGATATCTGAAACGTATTCAATATTCATTTATGGGTTTCATTTTACGTTGTTCATTTTACGTTTGAATAATGGAATTGATCGTCGCATGACCGGTAAACCTACACAGAGCGATTACCCAAGTTGTGTTTTGCAACGCAAAATTAAAATGTTTTATTTCTATTCTTATTATTTAAATCCGACTCAATTTTTGAACTCAACTCGGACTCATCTGTGTGTGGTATCACAATTTTAAACGCGAAATCAAAATTGTAACTACGACTCCGCCAAAATAAATACATTTGATTCTCCGGATTGCGTTAGTTGGCATACCCTAATTAACTAAATTTGATACATGTTACAAAATTCTGACAATTAGAATAATTTGATACACTTTTGATTTTTAATTCGAACTGTGCCTGAACTGAAGCCTGCATTGATTTACAAAAAAGCACCGAGAAAAAGTATTTATTTCCTCATGTGAAAATCCTTACAAACGAAAAATAAACTATTCAAGTTTGCATCCAGAACTAATCAGATCACGACCTTCGACCAGGGGTTAACTAACCGTGAAGACTTATGAGTGCCCGTGGTTAATGTTTCCGTCGTTTATGCTTGATCTGGTTTTGGTAATATGCAGCTAAAATGCGCACCGTAATCGACCGAAACAAAGTAAACAATTAAAATTTAAAAAATGATGTGTTGCCGCCCAGTCAACATCGCCTTGACATTGACGAAGTATTATACCGATTCTGAGAAGAAGCTTCTAGATGTTTGTTTATCTATTTCTATTTTTTTCGTTTATTAAATCATTAATACGCGGTTGCCTGAACGCTTCTAAATGGGGTCAAATGTAACTATTTCAGACGTTTTTTGAAATGAATTACCAAATATTACAATAAAATACAATATTATATCTAATAATACATAAAGCCGTCTATATATGCCGCTGATGCTATTCTCTAGAAATCGTTAGAATTTCTGGTGATGTTCATGGAAATTTTAGTCTCTGTGTGTATATAATGCAACGGAATTTTACATATTATTATTTTGCCAACAGCGAAGGTTATGCAGGACAATGCGGGTGCGGGTTTCTTATGCTTTGTTTTTGCCGACAAAGCAATTTTCTACAAATTTTCTTGCTATCAAATTTCTCTGTTTGCAAAACACTTGTTTATTTTGTGTGTAACCTGCTTTAAAGAATTATAATATATGTCTTTCAAAATATTAAAAATATCGGAAATATAACCGGAATGACGAGCTAAATCGCAAAAAAACAAAAAAAAGAATAATATGATCTATTGCAAACTTAGTTACTTTTTTTGTAACAGTATGCGTCCATTTATTCGTTAAGCAATTGCATATAGAACAAGGATAGCAAAAGCAAAGTATAAAATAAATACAAGCGTTTGTTATAGCAACTATAAGCACGGGGAGGATGTGAAACGCAGTTTTTGTGTGTGTTACGTTCAAAAGGCATGGTATGGCGAAAAATGCACACATTCGGGGTTACTTATATTAGTCAAGTTCCTTGCCTCTTTTTCAAGATATACACAATATTTTGAATACGTTTTTGAGAGCCTAAACAACTTTTGCAGATATCGTTTTTTTTCTTTTTATTTAAAACAGAGTTTATCTGTGGATAATAATCTTGTAATGAAATTATCTGAATTTGGAATATCTGGGGTAATTGTTTGCAAAATTGAATCGGAGATGTTTCGCTTTTGATAAGAACTCGTTAATAATTAAACATAAACCTTGAAAATTAGTTTTTCCCGGAGTGTAATATGAGAAGCTTTTATTATTAAGTAAGAACACGTCACTCATACGATTTATAGGCAATTTATCGTCTAATTCCATTAATCTGATTGCATAGCAACTCTGTTGAATTAAAATAGAAACTTTGCTATGGGTACAGCATATAATACCCGCTACACAGGACCGCTGAGCAGTTCGCCTCAATTTATATTCAGGTTTACATGACAATGAAGGTATATTTTCTGATTTATTTCAAAAACAAAATCAGTATTTAAAAATGGTGTTGCCACATTTCAAAATACCAAGCTTGTTTTGGGTCGAGACGAAGCAGTAGATATGTTATGATTCTTATTTATGTTTTTGTTGTTGCCACACGAATTTATTTGGTTTTGCGAAAACAGTCTGTGTCATCAACATTGATATTTTCTATATGTGATTCATTTTACCAGTTACAGAAAAGGTACGAAATAGGAAAAAAAATATAATCAATGCATAAAACAAGATCTTGAACTTTGTTCAAAAAGAAATCTTAGCTTTTCGTTCTTTATTTATTCAAATCATGACATCGAAAAGCAAAGACGTATTCGGAAGCGGGAGGCCAGACATAATGTCCGATCTCGCGCCTGTGTTGCCACACGCTTTATAAATTTTATCGTGTTACTACTTGTTATTTATGTGATAAAACTAACAATTTTTTACGTCGTTTTCTTAGTTCGTGAACCTTGTAAAATGGGTTGCAACAAGTTGAATTTCTGCACAAATTTTCAACAATCGACCAACAGAACTTTTCATTCCTGCAATGCGAGAGCTGACAATATTGCTAAATCACAGTTCAGGTACACTGTTATAAAATTAACTATTATAACTTATATTAGAAAGTAATTGCTCTCACACTTTTTCAATATATATACCTAAAAGCTTGTACACGCCTGTGCTGCAAAGATTTATTTAACAAAATGTAGTGAATTCATCGTTAATTTGAAAGTATATATGAAAAGAAAATTCTATTATTTATACAGTGAATGGCGAAGGGAACAATAAAATTACCTATGGCAGACATTCCAGTGCTTGATATTCGAACTTGTGAACCAGAAAAATGGAAAGCAGTAGCTTGTACACTCGAAGTAAAACCATGCAGCGCCAAGCTGGGAGACACAACCATATGCAAGTATGTGTTTAGCTAAGATTTATGAATACGAAAATGGTCGGTATTTTTCATAACTAAAATATGAGATTAACACACAAGGAGAGACGGAAATATTTTAAACATTCTTAATTGTTTAGACATATAAATACACTGGAAATTAATAGTACTTTGTTTTGTTAGTGTTGTAATGACCTGTTTCATACACTCTCTAACGAGATCTTTTTCCGACTTTATTTTTTTCTGGCATGATATAAAAATCCTTATAAGGATACAAACCCCTTTCTCTCACTCACTCCGGGTTCAAAAATGTATTTTGTTGTTCCAACAGTAGAAATTTCAATCCAATCAGTAAATATTTTTATATTTTCTCTTTTTGCAATTTTCAGGAAGGATTGTATGGCTCTTTTACGGAATGTGCAGACGTTCAAGATTCAAACATGGAATCTATAGAATGGTTGTTGTGAAATGTTTATCACCTCAGCATTTGCAACACGATTGTATATCTTAGATAAGTACACAGGTAAGCAAGATAAAATCCAATAAACAATATGTAACAGAGAATACGGAATGTTTAATTTATTACTTTTTGCAGCGGCTAGTGGACGCTCCAGTAATTGGTTGAAATAACACAACCTTGCAACCCGAACCCTTGTCAGAAAATGAACTATGTGTTGTTAATCGGGAAGACGTGCGAACAGGACGGATTTGTCCAACTTATAAGTGCTTAAAAGGTAAGATATAGTTTGCAGGTCCTAAATGAAAATATTCAGAGAAATATGTTTTTTTTGAGACTTAATTCATTAAAATGGATTTCATTCGGGTAAATATAATCTTGTAATGACAAGTGTTCTACACTAAAGAAAGTGCATTATAGTTTCCAATAAGTGCAGAGTGGCTACCACGTTACCTGTTGTTATTTCGGTGCTTGAAGTTAAAAATGTATGGTTCTAGACTCAAGTAGTCTTTCCAGAAGGCATTCCGTAGCCAATGCTTGGTGGGAGTATATAAAATGTGCTATAGTACAAGCATGCTGGAACTCAGTCGTCAAAATGTCAAAAAACTGTAAGTTTAAGGTTATATATAGTTGGCTAAAATATATTTACGAATTCAGTAACTTCATTTGAAAACCAATATTTTCTATTTTAGGTTGCAAAGTAGGAGATGTGGGTGATTTTTAGTTCACATCGGACAAAGAGTCAAAATACCTGATTGGAAAAGAGGAGAAGGTTGCTTTCGTGCTTGTGCATGTACAAGTGCAGAAAGGTTACAACACTGTACAGATTTACCTTGTCTAGATGCATCAAAATCTTGTACAGTTGTTGGGCAGAATAAAAGTGCCTTTTGTTTTATTTTTTATTAATGAACAACTTCAAAATGAATTCTTTTTCCATATGAAAAAATACAGCAGTTTGATTCATATACGCGAACAAAAAAGCCAAATAAAAGTGTTTTAATAATATTCTATAGTGAAAATACGCAACATTTCTATTGGTTTAAACCTTTTTTCAAATAATAACATTCAAATTTTTCAGTTCATGGGAGTCATTTCAAAATCGATTGCAATTTTTGTAGCTGTTATAATGGTAATGTTACTTGTACTAAGCGACAATGTGCTTCTAAAGACGAAACAGATGATAATAATAGAGAATTCACAGGTACATATTTATGTATTTCGAAGAACAGAATTAATGAAGTGTTATGTACACAGATTCTGTATATGCAAAGTTTTTTGATATTTTTGATACTTGAAAGGATAGCCAAAACGCTATATTATCAGAATGTGGATCTGCTATGGTTCGTTCATGCAGTCCTTTAGTCTTATTACTTCATTTGAAATTAGATCTGGAATGTCCCAAAATATCTGCAAAAAGTAGGCACATGTTGTATTTATGACACAATGGAGATACCAATGCACAGTCTACGTGTACATAAGACTAAATAGCATTTTTTCTCTGCTGCGAGAATAAGGCAGAATTTGATGTCTTATCTCCTCCCTTTTTACCACCACAAAGTAAATTTTGGCCCAACAAGATTTATACTTAAATATAACGATTTTACGTTTGTTAGGTTTGCCTTGCAATTGTGAACGACATTTTGTACCCGTTTGTGCGTCGAATGGGAAGACTTATCCAAGCGCTTGCATAGCGCGATGTATGGGACATGTGGATGCAGATATCGACTTCGGCCCGTGTCGAGCAAAAGATCCATGCAAAGGACATCCGTGCAGGCGAAATGAAAAGTGAGATTTGAGTGAACTTATTATTCTGCAGGACAAAATTTTAGTTACTTTTTATCTCTCGGGTTCGCCTCTCTTATTTAATTTTCTCGTAATATATTGCCACATCCGGAGTATGTGTTTCCTACATGATTTGCTACCGGAATAAATTTTCAGTCATTCCATATGGGAGAAGCAGAAATTGTTATTTCCTCCAGTTTCAAGCACGATTACTACTAATGATAACCTTGTATTATTCCTATTATTCTGAGGCTTAATACAAAATACATTTTTGTCATTACAGATGTGTTCGGGCTAGTCGGGTGTGCATCACTTCTTCAAAAGTATACGATTGTCCCCAATATGAGTGCGTCGCACCTTACGGTCGCTGTTTGGCCCGGCGTATGACACGTGACGCCTACGCAAGCGATGGTCACTATTACGTCAATTACAGAAGGATGAACAGTGCTTCCAGACGTAGCTTGGCCTCACCTATGTTCTTTGGGTACGACATAGACTGGAATGGCAGTGACCCGGTGTGTGACACAGATGGCGTGGAATATGATAATATTTGCCAGTTGCGAAAAAGGAATCGGAATACTAGATTAGCATATCGTGGACACTGCAAGGTAGGTGGTATCTTTTTTGTTTTAGATTTTTTCTGGTGGGATTGTCGCGATACTGACATTCTTGCTAAAATCTTACAACACACAGTGCCTTTTTTAAGTATAATTCCTAATCTCGTTTTGATAATTTCAGAAACACTGCGACGATAAAGAGACAGTGCCTGTGTGTGGACAAAACATTGTAACTTATGAAAATGAATGTTCCGCATTGGCTGAAAGAGTTTTGGTGGATTATTATACACCATGTCACGCTGTCAATGTCAATAGAGGTATGTTTATAATGTTTGTATAAATTTGTATTCTCAAATAAATAGGTTATGAGAATATTGTGTATTTGTCATGTCGTACTTGAGTCTGTAAAGTCGAAACATGATCAGTGTCTCCTCAATTCTGACTACAAGACAGCAAAAAATCCGCCAGTTTGGGTCAGTTTAAAATAAATAGAAAAATATTGTTATGCAGACGATAGCATTTTATTCGCTTGTCTATCGCCTTACTCAAATCAAATTGAACGAAAAAATTAACCTTTCCGAATGTTTGGTTATTTGATACTCTGTTAAAAAGACAAATAAACGGATATTTACTCTGTATTACTTACTTTAATATACCTTTCTTCTAATGGAATATTTGCCTCTCTCAGACAAAAAGAAAACGGATGCCTGCGCTGGGGTGATTTGTAAAGAATTGGCAGATTCGAACTGCGAGAGTGTCACTCCACCGGGAGCGTGCTGTCCCAGATGTGGCGGAATGATTCGAATTGTATATAGTCAACTTCACGTCAACGCCATTTCAAGAACAGCTATACAAGGTAACGGGTTTAATGATGTTTTTATTTATATACTTATATTTATCCAATACTTGTGGATATTGAAATTCAATGTAAGGAAATACTAATCAAGCAACAGCATGTGCTAAGTTCGCTTTAGAAAATACATACTACTGGGTACACAACACTGCGATCTGATTTTCACCTAATATTCTGCTGATTCATGTTCGCATCAAAATTGTCTTGCTAACGC